ATTCCAACTTTTTTCAAGGTCGGAGAGGCCACTAAGCCAGGTGGGTGGGTTTGTTCCCAAACACTACAACCAAACTGATGGGAAGGGAGAGGTGTGTTCACTCTGCCCCTGACCACAGCCCCACACCACTGACACCACCCCCGAGGGCTTTGCTAGGCACAGCTCTGCAGGCACCATCCAGAGCCTGATTTCATGGAAAATGAGGCTTTGATTCATCAAAAAACAAACAGTTTTGTTCTGGTTTTGTTTCATAAAAAGCTTTCCAAAGGTGACCAGTGGAACATCCTCACAGACACAGCAGTTGTGGCTCAGAGGGATGACAACAATGACTCCCCCCCAAACCACACACACACAGTGCAAACACACAGACCTGCTGGAAAACCTTATTTTTAAACTCTCTGCTATCCCATCCAAGCTAGTGGGATCTGAGTGCATGCTGAAAGTTACACATGCACTTTAAGTCTTCCCTGAACACACACAGACATCGGGGATGTTTATGATGCAATTTAAAGCAGCCAAGAGAAGAGCCCTTGCTCCTCAGCTCTGCGGGGGACAAATCCACAACCCAGAGGATTTCAGAGCATCCAAAATCCCTGAGGTGACCCTATGTATGTTCAGTAAGGCATCATCCAAAAGACAGAGCCAGACTGGCCAGCCAGTCCTGGGCTGGATGATCCTGTGGGGACATTCCACTGCCCAGCCACCTTAGCAGTGGGTTCCCCGCAGCACCCGTGGGTCTAGAGCCCACCGGGGAATGGCAGGACACGGGGAAAGCTCCTCCGCAGATAAGAGAGGGCTGGAGGCGCGGCAGGCACGGGTGTGCAGGGCACCCTCAGCCCCCGGGGCCGGCAGTCGGGGCGATGCGGGACCTGCTCCGACCCCCCTGAGCTGCCGGCAGGGAGCTGAAACTGCCCCTCGGGGGCATGGACGGCCCGGGCGGAGGGGAGGCACGGCGGGGGGGAACCGTGAAAGTTTGGGGACGGGGAAAGGGGACGTTTGGGGTGTCCTGGGAAAGGGGAAGAGGGAGAGAAACAGGGACAAGCAGAGGGAGATGGAGAGAGAGAGAGAGAGAAAGGGAAAGAATAAAGGGAGAGAGGAGAGGGGACACAGGAGGGGGAGAGGGAGAGAGGTCAGTGCGACCTGGCAGCACCGGTGCCGGCAGCCCAGGGATGGGGAGGAGAGGGAAAGGGAGAGAGAGAGGAGGAGAGGAAGAGGGAAAGGGGTCGGGGTCAGTGCGATCTGGCAGTGCCGGTACCGGCAGCCCAGGGAGAGGGAGAAGGAGAGGCAGAGGGGTCGGGGTCGGTGGGAGTCGGCAGCGCCTGTACCGCCCGTGTCTCCGTGCACTCCCGCATCACCCTGCGCAGCCCAGCGGGTACCGCGGACAGCGCGCTCCGCCGAGCCGAGCCCCGGGGCTGGATCCTTCCAGCCGGACCAAGCCCTGCCGCGTCCCGTCCCGTCCCATCCCCTGCCCACCTGTTGCGCGTCCCGCCTGCTCCCCGCTCCGTGCGGCGCCGCTCTCCCTAGAGGCTCCTCCTGCGGATCAGCCAGGCCAGCGCGGCCGCGGGCGTGAGCGCGCAGAGCAGCCCCGCCACGGCGGCCAGGCGGCGGGCGGCCGAGGGCCCGCGGCCCCGCGCCTTGCGCCGCTGCTCCAGCTCATCGCCCAGGCGGCGCAGGCGGGCGGCGACCCGGCGGGCAGCGGCCTCGGGCCGGGCGGCGCGGCCGGGCCCGCAGGGGCTGCAGGGCGCGGGGGGGCCGCGCAGCGCGCACGGGCACATGGCTGGCAGTGCTCGGCTCGCTCACAGCCCGCGGAGTGCGCGCCGGGCGGGACCGGCCGCGGACGGGGGGGACCGCGGTTACATCAGCCCCCGCGGGGCGGGGCCGGGCCGGCGGAGAGGGGCGGATGGCGCGGGCAGGGGGAGTGGGGGACACGGGCTGGGTGGTGGGGCCGTCTGGTGTCCGGGGGGGTTTGGTGGGACATGGGGGCACGGGGGACAGGGGGCTGTGCGGTGGGGCGTTCTGGTATCCAGGGAGGGTGGGATTCTGGTGGGACAGTGTGGGGATGGAGGGATAGCATAGGAATGGGGGGATAGTGTGGGGATGGGGGTTAGGGTGGAGATGGAGGGACAGTGCAGTGACAAAATGGGACAGAGGGACATGAGGAGAATGGGAGGACATGGAGAGTATGGGGGAGACAGTGTTTGTGTGGTGGGGCATTCTGGAATCCAGGGGTGGTGTGGGAGTTTGATGGGACAGCAAAGGGATGGGGCAATAGCATGGGGATGGAGGCACAGTGTGGGGATGGAGGGACCTGGGAGGACAATACTTGTCGGGGAGGCATGGAGAGAGTGGGGGAACAGTACTATAGTGGATACATTTTGGTATCCAGGGATGGTGTGGGAATTCAGTGGGACAGCACAGGGATAGCATGGGGATGGAGAGACAGCGTGGAGATGGAGGGGACAGTGCGGGGATGGAGGGACACTGGGGGATGGGGGGAGTGGAGGTAACAGTGCTTGTGTGGTGGAACGTTTTGGTATCCAGGAATGCTGTGGGAGCTGGATGGGACAGTGTGGGGTGGAAGGGACAGTGTGGGGACTGTGGGGATGGAAAGACAGCACAGGGATAGAGGTGACAGTGTGGGATTGAGAAGACAGGGTGGGGATGCAGGTGACAGTGTGGGATAAAGGTAGAGCGTGGGGATGCAGGTGACATCCTGTGTGGGATGGAGTATGGGATGGAGGGAGAGCAGGAGGATGCAGGAGACAGCGGGGCTGGAGGAGGGGACAGTGAGGAGATGCAGGGGGGCAGTGAGGGGATTACACAGAGCCGGAGCCGATTTCATCACCCACAGCATTACGGATTCGGATCACATTTCGGGCGGCCAATGCAGGAGCAGCCCCAGCACTGAGCCAGGGCAGAGCCTCGCCCCTGCCAGTGCACAGGGCTGGGACCCCCGGGCAGGACCCCCACACACACCAGCCCTGGGATGGCAGCACGGGCTCTGTGGGGCAGGAATCATCCCAAACTGGCCTGTTTTACCCCTGCCTTGCAGGGAAGCTGCTGCCACCCTCTTGGCAAATCACCCTGGTATTGCAAAGGGGTCTAGAGAGACCCTCCTGGGACTCCCCTTCTTCCCAACCCACCCTCCTTGGAGCAGCCCTGCATCCCAATCCTGGGGCAGCTCCTGCTCTGCAATCCCTCCCCTGGCAGGGCTCACTGTGGTCAGTGTGTGCTCCCCAGGGTGATCCTCCTCTGAGCCCAAGTGATTGTTTCACAGGGAAAGAAGTCATAGCATCACAGATTGATTTGGGTTGGAAGGGACCTTAAAGCTCATCTTGTTCCACCCCCTGTCATGGGAAGAGCCCACTTTGCTCCCAGCTCTGTCCAACCTGGCCTTGGACACTTCCAGGGATCAGGCAGCCACAGCTTCTCTGGGCAACCTGTGCCAGGTTCCCTGTGCCACCCTCACAGGAAACAATTTCTTCCCAATATCCCATCTGGCATTGGGAAGCCATTCCCCCTTGTCCTGTCACTCCAGGCCCTTGTAAATAGTCTCTCCTCATCTTTCTTGTGGGCTCCCTTCAGTTACTGGAAGGCCACAATTAGGTCACCCCAAAGTGTTCTCTTCTCAAGGTTGGACAATCCCAATTCTCTCAGCCTTTCCCAGTAGGAGAGGTGCTCCCTCTCTCTGAGGGGAGGCCTCCTCTGGACTTTCTCCAGCAGCTCCACGTGCTCCCTGTGCTGTTCCCAGGGCTGGGGCAGCTCTGCAGGGGGGTCTCACCTGAGGGGGCAGAGGGGCAGAATCCCCCTTGTCCTGCTGCCCACGCTGGGGGATCAGCCCAGCACAGGGGGGTTCTGAGTGCTGGGGCAGGTCCAGCCTCTCACCTATCACTCTTTTGCATGGTTACTACACACAGGAGCTCCTCCCCTAAATGAGGTTGTTTGGGTTCTTCCTGGAATCCAAACCACCTGTTTGTGGTTTTATAAACTGCACGGACAACAAGAAGCTTCCAAGGAGGAGAACCAGCAAGTGGCCACTGAGGAAGATGGAGGTGGACACAAGGGTGAGGGTACCCTCTGCTGCTGCCCAGAGCAGGGGCTGTGTTTCAGCCTGTTCACCAGAGCCCAGCAAGGACCAGCTGTTTGACTTAGACAGGTCACTCACCTGTTTTATTTCCTTGAAGACTCCACAGAAGTCGTGCTGAAGACATGAATACCCGTGGCCTCTCCCTCCCCTGGGCTGCAGGACTGGCTGAAGCAGCAGCGGCAGCAGCAGCTCTACATTTGTGGTTCAGCAGCTGGGTTCAGCACTTTGATCTCCAGGGTGGGTGGATGGTGGAGAGATGCTGAGCCAATGTCATGTCCTCCCCAAAGTGCCATGACAGCGGCAGCTCTGGGGCTGTGGAGGCAGCAGGAGAACAGCAGAACACACCTTTCCACCGGGTGTGACGGGCACCGTAGAGGTGGGACCACCCCTGCCCGCCAGCTCTGGCTCAGACTTGGCGAACTGAAGGGACAAAATGATCCAAGCGGGGTTTATCCATCACCCGGAGCAGCCACTTCCAAGGGCGACCCCCCGCACGGGCTGGGCACGGCTGTGAGGGGACTCGGGGCTCCCGGGGGAATCTGCCCTCACCCCGGCCATGGCCGAGGGGGCTGAGGGGACTCGGGGCTCTCAGCGGGACCTGCCCTCACCCCGGCCATGGCCGAGGGGGCTGAGGGGACTCGGGGCTCCCACTGGGCTCTGCCCTGGCCATGGCCGAGGGGGCTGAGGGCTCCCAGCAGGGCACAGACCGGCCCTGCCCTCGCCGCGGCCTCTCTCGGCTCTCCAGAGCCGGGCCCTCAGGCCACCATCGCGGTGCCCGTGTGGGGGCCACGAAATGCCGGCACCGACCCCATGCCGGCCCCATCCCCATGACGGCCCCATCCCCATGACGGCCCCATCCCCGGCCCCATCCCCGACCCCATCCCCATGAGGGCCCCATCCCCGGCCCCGTCCTGGGCGCTCTCCCGGCCCGGCCCGCCCCGGCGGAACGTTGTGTGTGCGGAACGCGCGGGCGCGGGGCGCGGTTTCCGCGCCGGGCCGGCCCCGCCGCCATGGCCGCGGAGCCGGCGGAGCTGAGGCGGCCCCGGAGCGGCCCCGGGAGCGGGCGGGGGGCGCGAAGCGGCCGCGGCGGGAGGAGCGGCCCCGGGATGAGCCCCCGGCCGAGCCCGGATACCTGGCGCTGGCCCGCGGGCTGCTGGCCGGCGGCGCCCCGGCCTTAGGCGGCCCCGCGCCCGCCCGCCCCGCCGGGGAGCCCGCCGGGGACGGAGCCGGCGATGGCGACGATCTGCTGGGGCAGCTCATCCGAGACCTGGTAGGGCCGTGTGGGGCCGGGGGTCCTGCCCCGGGCACAGAGGCGGGCAGGGGGAGGAGGGGGCCGTGGTGGGGCCCGTTCCCGGCGCGGAGAGAGCGGCTCGGCCGTGCCCGGCCCAGGAAGGGGGGGTGCTGCTTTCGCGTTCCTCTGTGCTTGTTTTAACCTTAGTTTCCGAGCACATCCCACTTACACAACTTTAAACCTCTAAAATCTGCTCTTCTCATGTCATCCTTGCGCGTCCCTTCCACCTCAGAGTATTCTGTGACTCTTTAATGGCACAGGGGGGATTCTCGCCTTGTCCCCTGCAGGGCCGGGGTTGGGCTCCGTGATCCCCTTCCAACTCTGCATAGTCCATGACTCTGTGAAATAGTATTTGATATTTGCTCTGAAAAACCTTAAAGGACGTGTAAAAGAGCTGTTTGTGCAGGAAAATTATGAATAAGGAGGGAGTTACTCGGGCTGTTTGGTGCCCGTGCAGTAATTGGGGATATCCTGCCTTGTGACAAGGCAGCGTAATAAGAAAACAAGCTTTAATTCTTTAAATAAAGGAGTTAATATGGCAATAGTCTTAAGCACAGCTCTGAACCAGATAGAAGTTATTTTGGTAAATCTTCTGAATGCCACGGAGGTTTTATTTACAGTGTAGGAAAACTAGGGGGGAAACCCATTTTCTTGTTTCTCGCTCACCTCCCTGTGACTAATTACTCTTTGCTTTAAAAAAAAATTAAAAGGAACAGATTAAATTTCTGTCTGCAAGGCACAAATTAATCCATTTACAGAATTAGTGCTCCATTAGCACACGGGAGCCCGCATCTGTCTCAGAGGGGATGGTTGTATCTGAGTTCTGGATTCATTCCAGCAGACTTTTTAGACAGGCTGGTGCTGACTTAACATCCCTCCTTCCTTGTGCTGAGGACAAGCTGCTGGGGTTTTGGGGATGTGGGATGACCTTGATCTGCCTCTTATTTTAGGATGGCATTAGAATGGAATGAGTATGAGCTTGTGCTCTGTCATTTTCTCTTGTTTGCCTTCAGAAAGTGAGGAAGATCCCAAACCGGGATCACCTCCTGCCTCTTGGCACTTTCCTCTCCCTGATACCTTGGTTTCTTTGTAGGACTCTTCTACAACCACTTCTCATTTAATGGAGCCTTTGCAGTACAAATGTAGAAAAAAAAAAGAGGCGATTCTGGGTTTGTTTGAAGGAGGGTATAAATTATATTACAGATTATTTTTAAAAAAATCATCTCTCTTATCTGTTTTTTCTTATTTTCCCCATCTTTTCTTGAGAGCACCGGAGGTGTTGCCTGTGGTGTCTGCAGTCAGTCAGTCCTGATGACACCTCTGTCCATCCAGACAGAGCAGGATCTGCTGGTTGGAAGTGAGTCAAGTCCAGTTTGGAAGCGGCATATCCGTGGTGGTGCCGTGCCTGAGTGCCTGAGCTCAGAAGCCCGGGGCTAATAATCCTTGCCCAATGGCTCCTCGGATTTGTTTGAGCAGCTCCGGGATGGCTCCTGGATCCGGGTGGATTCACATCTGGCCAGCCTGGAGCCTGTCTGCATGTTCCCTTTGTGTTTTGCCTTCGGTGTGCCCTCTGGAAATGGATGGGATTTAAATCACACCACGGCAGACAATCTCCTTGCAGAGCCACAGCGGGGAGTGGAGCCAGCCGTCCTCGGGCAGGGGGAAAGGAAGGGGAAAGGAGCTGCTTGGGCAGGGAAATTGTCCCGGTTTAAGTAAATTAGAGCAAGTGTGAGGCTCCAGTCTGCATAAATTGGTGTTTTGTTGCTAAAAGGACCTAAGGTGTTTGTGTTGTGTAAACACTGACCTGCTGTAGAATATCTTTTGCATTAAAAACCTCCCCACAGCCACGTTGTACTGTGATTTCCCCGAGTAACTCTGCTTTAAATAAACCCAGAATCGCCTTTTTTTTCCTACTTTGGTCCTGAGAAAGGTCCAGGTTTAAAGGAGAGGGCGTAGTTCTAGAAGAGACCTACAAAGAAATAAAGGTATCAGAGACAGGGAAGTGCCAAGAGGTAGGAGGTGATCCCGATTTGGGACCTTCCTGACTTTCTGATGGCAACCAGTGGAGAGTGGTTTGAACTGAGCAGCTGGTTTTGTGCATGGGGATGGATGGAGAGTGCTGAGGTGCTCAGGAGCACCTGGGGAGGGGCAGAAACCAGGAGAGAACACTGGAGAGCAAAAAGGGTGACACAGAAATGGTCAGAACGGGCTGGGTTTACTCCTTTTCTATTGCATAGCATAAAAATCTGGAATATCCAGGCAGTGGGAGAGAGAAGACAAATTTTGTTGTGATAACTGCAGGAAGAATATTTAATAATTATGCAGTTGAACTAAATACATTCAGGAAAAAATCCATGTGCTGCATTTAGCTGTTAGTGTAAACTGATGGATTTGTTTTTAAATTTTTGTTTGAGATACTCGATCAGTTAAAAGCAGGAACACTTCATATTAAAAAGACATTAATATGTCACTAATGAAAGAAACTGTAACATCATCTTCCATTCAGCTTTACATCAACATATTTGTTCCTTTTCCCATCCTCTGTGTTTGAAATGCTGTAAGTGAAATTAATAACAGGAGCATGTTCTTCAGAGTGCTTATCTATTGGGTCTTTTTGGCACTGCAACAGTAGATAAAGGATTTCACTAGAGCTTGTGTTCTGCCTTTCAGATCAGCCTTACAGTTCTTCTCAATTTGCTTTTTAGCTCCACTTAACCTCCTTTACCTGGCTCAGAGCAGGGAGTGGTTGGGTACCTGGTTGTGCTGATGTTCCATTAAAGGGAGGAGAGGTGGAATAACTCCTGGCTTTTTTTTTATGGAGCTGTGGTGGCGCTGAGGACACGCTTCATGCCGTGGTAACTTCTCCTGCTGTCAAGCTGTGCATGAAAGAAAATGATTTCCTCTTTTTTTCTTTTCAGAATGAAATCAATGAGGTTCCTTTCTTCGACGTGCAGCTGCCCTATGAGCTGGCACTGAAGATATTCCGCTACCTGGGCAGGGCTGAGTTGGGAAGGTGTGCTCAGGTAAGTGCTGCTGGCACTTTGATTCTCTGACACCACCTAAAATGAGCAGAAATAATCAAGGAACAGCCACCCTGATGCAGGTAAAGTGGGTGGCAGCCCCAGTTACTTACAGGAAACAGTTCCAAAGCTGAATATTGAGAGATAATCCACGAGCTGGGTTTATGGCTGCAGTTGAGTGGAGTTAAATAAAACATTTGTGGCTCGGGCAGAAGCAAAGCCTCAAAATTTAAAATAAATATTGCAGAGATATTTTGATTCGAGTGAGCGTGTTCAGAAGCAAGTGAATGTCTTGCTGCAATATTTAGAACTTGGCAGTGCTGAGGGCATGGCAAGAGCTGTTCCTCACACTCGTGTGTGTGCCTGGAACCACAGAAATTGGAATAGTGACTTTTTGTCTGCAGTGTTTTCATGTGAGGCTAGATTCTTCAGTGACTCAGATTTCCTCTCCCCCAGCCCCACATGGGGTTCATATTTTTATTCTGGGATACTTTCAGATGATGCGTTCACCAGTCTGTGCTCAGGCACGGCCCATAATTCATGTTTATAAACTGCCTGTCTTTTCAAGCAGCTTTATGAAACACTCACACCTCACCCTGCTTGGGGTTGTTCAGCCTCTTTATTTCCTTTCTTCACCCACTGAATGATGAACCTCCTCTCTGAATGAGCCATCAAAGCAAACTTAATTGGGAAGTGCTGATTACCCAGTGAAATGAAGTAGAATATTGTGGATACTCACTGCCAGCTTCTCCCGTGGCCACTGGTCAGGGTCCAGGCTGCTGCTCATTAATTTATGTACAAAGCACATCTTGCAACTTCACAAAAATCCCACCCAAACCATTCTCTGTGTAACAAACACTCCAGAGAAAGAAATGTTAGCGTGTAAAGACAGGAGTGACGGACGGGGTCTGTTTGGGATGGTAAAACAGGCACAAATATTCCCTGAATGGCACAGGCATTGAAAGGAAATTGGGCTTTTCGTGTTCAGTGTGAGCGTGTCATGGTGTTAAACAGCCACAGGTGGTTATTGCTTAAAACTTTGACTTTCTAATGCCTTTTAGCAACAAGGACTGTTAAAAGGAAATTAATTCCTGTTGTTGCAGAGGAAAGAATTCCCGAGGATTAATTTTTTTTTGAGGCTGTCCAGGAGACTGAAGCTTTCAGATACGCTCAAGTTTCTGTCATTTGAGGTAGAGATAAACCATCGGTAAGGGCCACATCCCATGAAATAGAACAGGGTTGCGTTTCTGAAGTGGATTAGTTTAAGGTTATTCCTTCCCTCTCTCTTTTTTTTCCCCCCTCAGGCACGATCGCTTTTCCTCATGGCACGGTAAAAGGGTTGGCTGGGGAAGGGCTGCCCCTTTCCCTGTGCTTGGGCTGCTCTTGATTTCTCTTTCTCCCTCTCACTTTGGCTTTTCTCTTGAACCTGCTCTCATAAAAAAAGCGTTTTAACACGTTTTTTTCCACATTTGAAAACATAATTTTCCACATTTCTCCTCAGCCCAGATCCCTGTTCCTGTGTGGCAGCTGACAGGTAGCTGAGCAAGTGCCCAGGGTTTTACAAGCCTTTCCCAGGGAGATGGATATCCAGTGCAGAGCTGGCTTCTTTTTGAAGCGTTCAAATGAAAAGCAAAGCCATAAAAATAAATGCCATTTTCATTTTTCTCTCGGTGGTTTTGATTTTGAAGGGGGGGAAGCCCTCTTCTGTTCCACAGAAAACCCTGCTGCTTTACAGTGTTATCCCAGAAAGGTTTCTTTTTATTAAGGTGCCTTGGGATTTTAGGGAAATGGGGCCAGTTAGTGGAATTGGCATCGTGATCCATGTGAGAGCCTTTGGAGAGAACCTGTTTGCTCAGTTCCTGATGCCAAATTGTAACCAACTAACAGGAAAGTAGCCTGACTTCAAAGCCTCTTTGAGATTTAATCACACCACGGGCTGTCTGCACAACTTGAATTTCACCCTGATATTTCCCTTTCCTTCACTTCCCCACAGCTTTTATAAGATTTTTTTTTTGGGGGGGGGGATTAGTACCATGAAACACAAAATACCTGCGTGGCACTTGAAATCCCAAATCCTTGTGCAACCCTAAAATTGTGGTGCCCTCAGTCACTTCTTCCTCCTGGCTGTGATGTTGAGGAGAAAAAAACAACCCAGTCCCTTGGGACACCACAAGTTCTTGGGTCATTTGGGGCTGAAACTGCAGAAATAATTATTTACTCATGGCCTGAGGACCTGGTCTTTATGCTGTGAAACAAGGGGATGTGTCTCACCTGTGAACTTCTCCAACAGTTGCTGATTTTTAGTAGATCCCAGAGACTGCATGAGTTGCATTCTGTGGTGTGAAATGCTGCTGGGCAGTAGTACTGAATTTTGGCAGTGCTGACGCAGTTTAGTTTCTGAACAGATCAGTGGGAAATTCCCTTGACCTGTTCTGTTTTCGTCTTCAGGAAGGTTTGGAAGTGTTTACCAACACTGTTGTTTATGTATCTAGGGCAAGGGAGGCTGTTTCTAGGAATTTAGGAAGGATTGTCTTGCATAAATCAAGAGTCTCAGCTGCTCGTGGGCTTCTGGGATTGTCAAACTGTTCTGCTTTTGGTGTTTATACATCTAAAAGGGGAAGATCTCGTGTGCATTTTGAATGGCTGGAGAGCAGCCCTGGGGAGGAGGATTTTGGGGTGCTGGTGGGGGAGAGGCTGGACATGAACCAGCCCCCAGAACCCCCCTGTGCTGGGCTGATCCTGTCCAGTCCAGAGGAGGCCATGGAGATGCTCCCAGGGCTGGAACCCCTCTGCTCTGGAGCCAGGCTGGGACAGCTGGGGGGGTTCACCTGGAGGAGAGAAGGCTCCAGGGAGACCTGAGAGCCCCTTGCAGGGCCTAAAGGGGCTCCAGGAGAGCTGGAGAGGGACTTGGGACAAGGGATGGAGGGACAGGACACAGGGAATGGCTTCCCACTGCCAGAGGGCAGGGATAGATGGGAGATTGGGAAGGAATTGTTGGCTGTGAGGGTGGGCAGGCCCTGGCCCAGGTTGCCAGAGCAGCTGTGGCTGCCCCTGGATCCCTGGAAGTGTCCAAGGCCAGGTTGGATGGGGCTTGGAGCAGCCTGGCCTGGTGGAAGGTGTCCCTGCCCATGGCAGGGGGTGGCACTGGGTGGTCTTAAAGGTCCCTTCCAACCCAAACCATTCCGTGCTCGTGGCTGTGAATTGAAACAACGAGCAGCTTCCATGGGAATGGCTTTGGATTCAGGACTGTTTGGCTCTCTGTGTTGTCCTGGACTGCAAGTCCAGATAGTTCTAATTGAGGCCCCTGGACTCAGCAAATGAGCCTTGACTGTGTCTTTGTGTGTCTGGGGAAGAAAATAAACCTAGTGAAACAAAAATGGTTATCAGATGGAGAGGGATGAATAAACCTTCATTAGGATTCGAGCCAGTTGATTTAGATGGGATTAGGAGAAATTTTGGATTTGATGGAAGAGGTGGGGCTTTTTTTTTTTTGGGAGGGGGGAAGATCTCCCACAGGCAAACTCCAATAGCAAAATCTCTGTCAGCAGAGGTCTTTGAAGTCCTTCAGAACATTATTACTTGCTGAACTATAAGTTATAAAACTGTTCCTGTGTGGAGCTCAGGGGAACCCCAAACTTTCTGTAGTAAAAAGACAATAGGAACACTAAAGACAAAATTAAATAGGGGACTCTCAATTTATAAACAGCTCCAAAGATGTTGTCACTGATGTTTTTTCTGGAGTTTCTGGGCAGTGTAGATTTGGAAACAGTGATGTCTGTGGTTTAATGAGAGCTTTGCACATCTCAGCCCCTCCAACCCACGGGGCGAGTGTGGCTGGTAAATAAAGCCCTACCACTCTGGCTTTTGGGGCCTCACCTGAAAGTCTGAAGTCAGGCAGATCTAATAAAGCTGACTTGGAGCCAAAGGCTGGTTTTAATGCAGCAGCTCACAGTGGTGCTGTAAAGGGAAATGCTTGAGCCTCTTTTATTAGTGATTTCGTGCAGCTGAGGCTCGCTCAGTGGGGCTTTTACAAGGGCTTGGCATGCGGGTTTTGGGGCCGTAGGAGAAGGCTGTGCGAGGGACTCTTTGGAAATCCAGGCTTGTAAAGCAGCAGGATTCGCTGTAATTTGATTTAAAAAAAATCAGAATAGGATGGGATCTTTATTCCCCTGGAAAGTTGAAAAGGCAGTCGGAATTTTATGTTCCCCCCCCCCCAAGCCCTTTTCTTTTGTTTTAGTGCCTTTATAAAACGCTTTTAAGACCCTGAAACTTGAAAGGTCTGTACAATATTGTCTGTTTTGGCAAACTCCGAAGGTGTGTGTTTATTTTTGATTTTCGTTTTTTAAAGCAAGGCAAGGGCTGGCCTGGTTTTGGCTGCGTGTGTGTGCTCAGCCTGTCCCTCACTGAACATGTTTTGGGAGGGGGGCAGAGGTTCCAACCTGCCCCACAGCTGCTCTTCTGGTGTGTCAGCACAAAGCTGGGCTGGTTTTTGTGTTCTTTGAGCAATAAGATATGCATTTGTCTTAGTTTAAAATCAAATCGAGAGCAAACTCCTCGCTAGACTCTGACGGGTTGGATTTTGGATCGTGTCTTTTGGTTGCTTTTGAACTTCCTGAGCGTGTCCCTGTAGGGACAGGAGCACTGACAAGCACTGCTTTTTTTTATTGCAGGGTGATGGGATGTGTCATGCTTGAGGAGACTCGGTGCTGTTTGTGTCATTGTAAGGCATTATGATGACCCTGTCCAGGTTGTTTTCCCTGTTACGGGACGGAAGGGGATTGTCTGTGTCTCCTGGTTTGCACTGAGGTCTCTTGATGATTAACTGGAATATTTCTTTTGCTGCACTTGGATATTCCTGTATCAAATCTTTAAAAACATTTGCATGTTATTCCCATATTAACCCTTTTTTTCCCTTTTCCGTGTGTGGGGACTGGGGACTGGACAGTCTGTAGGAGCTTTGGGACTGTGTGTGTGAGATCTTTTTGCACATGCTGTGACCTGTGAGGCTCAGGGTGGTGTTTTTGGGTGCTTTCTGGCCCTTGGTGTTGTGTTGTGGGTGTTCTGGGTGGGCTGACAAGTTCCAAACTCTTGAGATTCCTTGATTTATTGGAGGCAGGTCTTGTTTTGCTGACCTCTCCATAAGCCTCCAACAGCTCATGGACTCGTGCAGATCTACCAACCCCCAGGATCTGATGTTTATTCCTCACCAGATACAATTTTCTGAAGCTCTCTTTTCCATTTGAAGGCCATGAGGTTAGGTTTGAAGCAAGGGGAGGTGTGTGTGGCAATGTGCAAATACAAAGGAGATTAATCTCATAAAATGGAGAAGAAGGAGTAACTCCTCTTTCACCTCCCCGTGCCGTGTTGAATCTGTGAGGGAGCCCAGAACAAATAAACACAAAGAGATGGTGCTGGGAGGGGCGGTGTCAGTGGCAGACCTCGATCCTCGGTGCAGTCTTGGGCCTGAAATGGGCATTAGATGCTTAATTGTAATTTACTAAAAATGATGTCAGTCTCAGGAGGTTGTTGGGATCTTTTTGGAAGCAGAGCACGATTGATTGCTGCTCTCACCACTCGTGGCTTTCATTGGTTACTGCTGTTGTGGTGTTTTTTTTTTATTTTAAATTAAGAATTACAGGGAACAAACGCTACTTAAGTTGGCTCTCACCTCTTGAATCTTTAATTCCGAGCCCACAATTGATTGTGATGAAGCTCTGCTCTCTCTGGAATGGCCAGCAACTTGAGGCTGCTTCAGAAACTTAATAATTCATTCCTATTTATGCATACTGTAAAACAATAGGTTATAAATCACTAATGTCGTAGCCCTAATCAGACACTGTCAGTAGGACTTTGGAGATGTGGTGGTGTGATATGAGAGGGCTTCTTAGCTCCAAATATGAAGATAAATTCTTATTTTTCTCTAAGCTTACAGTGCTGCCTTAATTGTTTTGTTGCTGCTTTTCCCTCTGAAGTTTTCCAGTGCACTGATAATTTCAGGTTGTCAGTGTTTCATGGAGTTTTAGTGGAATAGAAACTCAGTTGAACCCCACAGAAAACAAGCATTTTGTTAAGGGTTTGGGGGTTTTATACACTCAGTGGTATAAAGGGTGATCAAATATATTTGTTTAGCTGAGAATTCACTCTCAGTGCAGGCCCACGCCAACTTACATATTTATATTTCAGATGCTATATAAAGAATTTTATAACAAATGTAATTTTCACTTATAAATTTATCATAGAACCATAAAATAGGCTGAGTTGGAAGGGAGCCACCAGGATCCAGGCTCTGCACAGGACACCCCAAGAATCCCACCATGCGCCTCCCAGCATTGCCCAGATGTGGATATGTGAGACACACGTACCAAAATTTGATTTTTAGGTCAGCAGGACGTGGAAAATCCTTGCAGAGGACGAAGTGTTGTGGTACAGGCTGTGCCAGGAGGAGGGATACCTGTTGGACATGAGCATCTCGGAGCATTCCTGCTGGAAACTGGCCCTCAAGAACTGCCGGGCCAGGGAGCGCACGCTGAAGTACAACTGGAAGGTGAGAGGGGCTTTCTTCAGTGGGAAAACGGGAACCTGGTTTGTTGAATTAGAAAGCTGACATTGCTTTGTGCAGGGGAATAACTGCATGTTATTGGGGATAACTCCACGTGTCATCTACACCCAGCAATCCAACAGCCTGGGTTATAGACAGGAGACTCATAACTGTTCATCACCTTTCTATTACATGTTAATTATATCTCCTGCATACATGCACGTGTGCTAATAATGTCTTGGATGTGGTTCCAGATCTTCTAAGGAATCTCCTCTCCTTGAGAGCATCTCAAGTACGTGGTCAGGTCATAGCGTACCTCTCTTATCACCCTTTGCCCCAACACACAATCCTTGTTCTCACAGCCAAGACACCTCCTAGTACATGTCAGTCACTGGTACAGGGAAATAAGGAAGCAGCAGCTGGCACAGATGGAGGGATCAGCCATTGTTGCCCCAAAGTTAAAAGAATTTTCCCACATCTTCCCCCAGTACTGCACAGAATCCTTTTTGAAGAAACATAACTGTGTATTGCAGCTCCTTTTTGCCTGTCAAAAGGTGGAAGCTGCTGAGGGTTTTATGGGACAGAAGTGCCTTTCGTCTCAGCTGTGCTGCAGCAGCAAAAGCAGAGCTCAGGGCTTTCCACCCAGCAGGTTTTGGTGGATGAAGGAGCTGGAATTTCAAGCCGCTGTGTCCTCTGTGGCAGAACCGGATCGGAGCCGTGAGCCAGCTGAGGTACGAGCTGGGGAAGGTCCTGTGTGACGTGCATTCCTGCGATGGAGTTGTCATTGCTGGGTGAGTGGGAGGCTGTGAAACGCCCCTTTTGTCTTCACCCTTTGATACCTCCTGTCCTGCCTTCAGCACATCCAAAAGCAGCGCCTGTTTGAGGCACCAGGGTGGATTTCCCTGACTGCAGTTCCTCCTGGTGAGAGACTGTCCTTAAATGCCTGATAATGATGGATAGACTGTCCCTAAATGCCTGATAATGGTGGTTATCCTGCATAAACCGCCCTTAAGTGGCTGATAATGTTGGTTATCTGCAAATTATTTCAGCAGTGCATATTTTTATTGTACTATTCTAAAGTTATCTCCATTATCTCTGTACATGTAGTCCCTGTAAAGTGCTTTCTGATGAACTGTATCCAGATTGTTTTGCCGTGGAAGCACCCAGAATGTGTTAAACACTGTACACATCTACTGAACAACTCCCTTTTTTATTGTTTTTTCCCGTGAAAATCTCTTAATCACAAGGATGCCTTGTCACAGCCCACAAAAATAACTTTAGAAGGGCTGCTGTTTTCCTCAGTTGTTATTTAAAGGACGACATGGACAGGAAATAACCTACCCAAAAATAGATAAACCCAAAAGTTTTCTTTTCCTAATATAAAGCTTCTTCTGGACCTTGATTTAATGTTAATTTGGTTTATCCTCTTAAATACAATTTTAAGACCCTCACAAACTCTTGTGACTGTCTAAATAGGTGTAAAGTTTAACTGTTTTCTAGTTCAGTTTTACAGGTTCAGTAATTAGTAGCCATGAGTAATTAAAATTCATCCAGGGGCAGTCAGGGCACATTGTCCTTAACACACCAGAATTCCATATTTTATTGTAGCACTTCCTTTTAATACTGTTAATGCTTCTGCACTGTGGGATTAGAGAAAACCACTTGTAAAATGCCATAAAATTCACAGCCTGCTTCTAAGAGAGGTGCCTTGAAAACTCTCATACATGGGAATGCTTTTGAATGCTCCTTGGGCAACTGAGCAGAAATCTAAACTATCAGCAGGAGCAAAAGGAGCTGGTTTATTTGGAGTTTTTTGTCTTTTACTTGATGTTCTTCCACTGCTCTCTTCCTGTTCTCTTTGCCATCCTGTCCCTTGACTGTTGATCCTCCTCCTTCTGTGCTTTCCATGTGGTGTTTTCCTGCTGCATCCATTGTGTTTGTAATCAGAAGGAAGCTAGGGAGAATAAATTACATTTCCAAAGTATTAATAAAGGTAATTAACGCTTTCATGTGAATACTTTAAATAACAAGGGTTATTAATCCTGCCTGTCAGACTCAGACAGTGGATGTTTTAGCTTGCTGTGTTACAGCAGTTGGGTTTAAGCTGTTTCACACACTCTTTTCATACTGGATCCCCAGTTCCTCCAGCATCTCTTGGTTCTTTTGGTGAGTTTGCATCAGTCCCATGAAGGGAGGTGGTGCCAGTGAATAATTCAGGCTCCTGAAAGGCTCCTGAAAATAGGTGAGCAGGTAAGAGACCACCGAGGGAAAAGCTGCACGTGTGTACCCCTCAGAAAAAGCAGTGTTCATTTACATTACTCTGCAGTAATTCCTCTTCTCTGGGAAAATGAATTATCTTTTTATGAAGCTGGGAGAATGTGTTTGATAAAGAAACAATCAGAATTCAGCTGCCTGACTTCACCTGCTTAGTAAATGAAGTGTTTATAGGATGTTACAGCACAAAAGTTCTGCCCTTTGCTGTTCACTGCTTACCCTTCACTCTGCTTTGGCATCTGGAGGTCTCTGAAAGCCTCTCTTAATTTGATAAGTGGTAAATGGCAAATGAGATAACTAAAACTTCCAAGGACATTAGCAAATGGTGCAGGGAGAGACTTCTTGTTATGTGCATTTGGTAAGTATTTATGACATGTAGATTGAGGAATTCGTTGGAGTTTTGTTGTTTGTTGTATTTTATGTTTGGTTTGTGTTTTGTTTTTTTTTTAAATCCAAACATAACCCTCCCCTTTCTCTCCCAGCTTGTAATATTGTACTTAATGGCCTTGTGCTTTCAGATTTGCCATAAAAGTGTAATGAATCTGGTGATCAATAGCAAACTGTTGCATTCTTTCAGTACCGAACAAGTAATTTAATAGCTGAGGTTTACAGAGTCAATTCTCTCCTCGGCATAAATATCAATTATCTGTTACATTTAATGATTCTCTCTCTGGTTTCACAAACACTTCTGTGCTCAGCTTTGCATGTGAACAATCAGGGATTACAGCGAGACTTGTGCTGTGTGTAAACTGAGCTGGTGTGTGACTTTGCCAGGCCTGAGAAGCTGGGGGTGCTCCTGATGTTAATGCAGTGCTGTGATGGGGCATTTCCCGGCGTTTTTCTGAGCAGTGCCACTCAGGTTTTAGCAGGGCTTTTTGGTCCCGGCTCCCTCAGCTGCTCCAGCTCCGTTCCCTTCCCTGCACACGCTCCAGCCCCTCAGTGTCTGTCCTGTCTGAGGGGCCCAGAAGTGCCCCCAGGGCTGGAGGTGCCCCAGCAGTGGCAGCACAGGGAGGGCACTGCCCTGGGGCTGGGACACACCGGGCTGGCACAGCCTAGGGCCCATTGGCCTCCTGCCCCCCTGTCAGCCATCTCTGCAGGTCCTTGTCCAGCCTCTCCTCCCCAGGCCTGGAGCATTCCATGGGCTTCCAAGAGTAGGACCCGGCACGTCCCCTTGTTCTGCTCCCTAACTTTCCCTGGCACTCAGGGCAGGCTGGCAGGTAGTTCCCCGGATCCTCCTTCCAGCCCATCTGCTAGGTGGGCACCACTTCCAGTCTCCCAGTGAACCAGGACTGCTGGTGAATGGTGGAAGGTGGCTCGGTGAGCTCTTTGCCAGGGCCCTCAGCACCCTTGGGTGGATCCCACCTGCTCCAGGGACCTGTCTGCATGTTTCCCTTTGGATTATGGGGGCTTCATCCTGCTCCTATCCCTGTCTCCCAGCTCAGGGGCTGGGTACCCTGGGAACAACTGGCCAACTGGCCTTTTCCCCATCCTTTGTCACGTGTTCCCCCCAGTGCAATAAAGGATGGAGATTCTCCTTAGCCCTCCTTTTGTTGCTAATAGAATCATCTTTAATTGGCTTTTATGGCAGTATCCAGATCAAGTTTCTAGCTGGAGAGAGTAGTTCTAGTTGGACAGGGGGGATTCCCCAAGAAAAATACTGGGGCTGGTGTGTTTTGGGAGCTTTGGAGCAAGCCTGGAATCAATCTGATTTGATCTCAACCTGACCATGTGTTTGTCACTGTACTCCTTCAAACTCTGCTGGGAAATGGAAGAATTTCTGGTTGAGTTGCTGTAGAGCTTTTTTCCATCTTCCCAAAAAGGAATTCTCTCGGGTTGTGGGCAGAGTTAAAACAGCAGCCACGAGTGGGATTTGTAGGGGCACGCCTTGTCCGAGCGGGCTCGGGAGCTCTGCTCGTTAACTTCGCCAAGGAAGCAAAAGATAAACTTTGCAGGATGAGCCCTCCCTTGGAGAAACGCGCCTGTTCCACGCGCTCTGCTGCCTTCCTGCTGCTGCCAAAGCCGGAGCCAGGAGATGGCAGAGTGTCCAGGGTGGATGCGGTGGAAGGCGAGCCGGGAGGGGAGGGCGGCCGCGAGCGGCTCCCTTTGTGCGAGCTGACGGCGGAGAATTCAATCAGCCTCGTGTCGGTCATTAAAATTTCATCCCGGCGGTTACGACGCTTGTTTTCTGGGTCAGCCCTCGAATCCCTTTTCATTTGAGCCGGCGGTGGTTGTGGTTACCTCACTCCCGATCGATGCCGTGCGCTCACCAGCCCTTCTCGGGTTACGCGTCTCGGAGGATCGTCTTTAAAGGGATGATGTCCCTCCTCCCCCCTCCCCCTGTTCAATTCAAATGTAGTTTCGTCTTCGAGTCAGAGCTTACTTAAAGCAATTATATGGCTGCTTGCTTGGCTTTTATAAGTCACTGCTGCCGCCGAGGTTCAGTGTGCCTGATGCTGCCATTTGCTTGGCTCCTGTGCAGCGTGCCTGGATTTCTTCACTTTCTGTTAATAAAACCTGAGGTTATCTGGGCTTTTTTTTCATGTCCAGACAGTAAAACAGCTAATTTTTTTGCTACCTTCTTTAATTCTTGGCAGTGCTGGCAGCCACGCTGGTGGGCATTTGTAGTCAGAGGTTGGTTCCTCCTGGAGATGATCTGGGAGCATCTGGTCCTCGTTTGAACTCTTGTCAGGACACCGAGGATCCCGTGGTGTAACAAGGCCGTGGCATGTTGTGGCACTGTCGTGCTGTCTGTGTGAAATACCCGTTCTGGAGCCACGTGGTGAGCTTGCCCTGTGCTGGTGACAACCATCTCCCCTCAGGGCTGGCCCCAGAAACCCACACCAAGTGGGCTGTGAGTCGGGGTGGGAATTTACTGTGCATTGTGTTCACTTTTTAACGCTTGCAGAAAGGGCCCTGTGGCTTTACTGCTGCTCTTGGTAGCTCTGAAAAGAAACAGGAGAGGCCCAGAGCCACAACACCCTTCCAGAGACCCAGAAATACAAAGGTAGTGGATTTTTCTCTATTTTTTCCCTCACTTTTCTTAGACTGAAGAAGGAGAAGGGAGACTGTGAGTGAAGAGCTCCATAAATGGAGATGTAAGGGCCACAAGCTGAGGTAGCAGGTGCCATGAGGGATTCTTCTTCCAGACTAAAGGAATCAGCCCTGGCTTCTCCCTAAATCTTAATTTCAAGTGTTTTCCTCCTTCCCCACCAAGTGCTGCCTGCTTTCTTAGAGATTTGCTTTTCTTGGGTTAGGGCATGGTGAGATCCATCTGCTCTGAGTGGTTTATAAACCAAATTAACGCTTCCTCCCCTTTTCGGGGTGGCATTTCCACAGGCAGCGACAAACAAAGGAAGAACTTCCTAAATATCCTGGGTGCTTGGTAGGGGAATCAGGTGGTTTAGAGGCATTTTGATTCCCCATACCGAGAAATTAAATGCACTGAAACGACTTTATCCACTTGTCTTGGTTCTGGGGAGTCTCAAACAATTTGGCCCTTTCAGTTCAAGTCATTGTG